TATCAAAGTGATAAATGTTGGGGATATTTTGGCTTTTGTTTGTGAGTTTTGATTTATTTTTAGTTTATTTGTGTTATGTGGGAAGTGTAAGTAGTTGAATTGTTTGTTTGTTTTTTTTTTAAATTCTCAGTGATAAATGTACTAAGTTATTGTATGAACAGTACAAAACTAAGTTATTTGTAGCCACTGCAAGTACCAGTTAATGCATTATTTACCAAGCTGATATATATATACTTTAATTCTCGTTGTTTTTATGACTACAAGTTGCATCATGCAATTTTGGATTTTTATTTTTATATTTTTCTTAACCTGTTTTCATTATTCATATTGATCATCAAGTCATCCAAATTTTCCCTTGTATGCAGAATGGCAGTGCTGCTCCAAAGTCAGGCATTCCTCAAATGGTTGCTCAAACACTGAGTTTTGGCCAAAACATGCTGCTGCTGGTGATAGTAATTGCACCCCCCAACCAAAAAAAAAAAAGAGTAAATTCTTGAGTTTTTATTTATTTATTTATGGGTACCTAGAATTATGGTTCAACAGTAATAATAATATATATTCACAAAAAGATCGTACACAAGCTGTATTGAGATTTATCATTTTTAAATACTGTGCTCATTTTTGACCTCCTAATTACAATGTCATTGACTCTGAGCTCTTATGGCATCTAATTGTTAATAGGGAAGTTACTTCCAAAATGATTAAGATCAAGCAGAAATGATTAATGTTCTTATTTTGGTTTGTTGAATTAACTTTTTAGTTTATTCATATGCATCAGCGGTTTCTGAATTAATTTGTGTTTTCATTTTTCAGGTTAGAAATTTTTTGGAGAGATGCAAAATATAGTCCAAGAATTAAAGAATTTAGTTTTTTAAGTTTTTTTTATTTTTTAATATATGTAAGCACAGATAATTTTTTTTATTTAATTCCTTTGTATATAGTTTTGAATATTTAATTTCCATTTATGAAATATATGACGTTATTCTATTCAATATGTGGTTATGATTCAAAATATAGTATATAGTGTGTATTACATTATTCAAATGTGTATACAAAAATAATATTGATTATTTTTCAAATATGTAGCATCTTTTTTTTTATCACAGATTTTATTAGTTATTAATCACACTTAAAAAATGTGATCTAAATGTTATTAATCACACTTAAAAGATGTGATGTAAATGTTTTTAATCACACTTAAAAAGTGTGATTAAAAATGACACTTCCAAAGATCACACTTAAAAGGTGTGATCAAAATATTTTTAATCACACTTAAAATGTGTGATCTAAAGTTTTTAATCACACTTAAAAGGTGTGATCTAAATATTTTTAACCACACTTAAAAGGTGTGATCTAAATATTTTTAGTCACACTTAAAAGGTGTGATCTAAATGTTTTTAACCACACTTAAAAGGTGTGATCTAAATATTATTAATCACACTTAAAAGGTGTGATGAAAGCATTTTTTAATGACACTTAAAAAGTGTGATTAAAAATGACCATTTTTAATCACACTCCTAAAGACCACACTTTAATAAAACTTAAAAGGTGTGATTAAAAAACATACATCACACCAAAAAAGTGTGATCTTTATCTATATTTGTAGTAGTGATAAAAAATAAAAAAAAAAATTCTCATGATCTCCATAAAATAGAGCCTTACTGGCCAAAAATCAGTAAAAGAAAGAAAACTTGGAGAGAATTAGTTCTCCAGAAGAATTCTGATGCAGCTGAATATACGGGGACTAGATATCGTTCTAGTAGACGAAAGGGGCTCTTGAATTCATGAGAAAAATAGAACCTTGAATCTACAAGGAAGAGAAAATATCTTAATATTATTGATTGAATTAATAAAAGTTCCCTTTTCCATGAGGCTTACATAACTATTTGTAATAAACTAAACCTAATACTTGTAGGAAAAGTCATTCTAAAATAAACTAGGAAACTTAAATCAATACAAATAAGGAAACCTAAGAAAATAGGAAACTAAAATTGTAAACTATTTAAAATCCTAGTCAAAATCTAATTCCAAAATAATAAAACTAAGAAACCTAATAATTCTAAAATATTTATACTAAATTACAAGAATCCTAATAAAATAATACATCAAAAATATTAAAATTAGAACTATAAAAATTCTTAAAATCTTGTTCTTCATCAAATTCTCAAGAATATTGTATCACTAACAACTTCTTTAGCGTTCTATTATCCCCGGATAATGAAATCAGATACGATGGAAAACCTAAGTTTCAGATTACATCAGTCACTGGCCATCCTTGTTTGCACTGCCTTTGCATTTATCTAGCAAGTTCTAAATCTCCTTCAGTATCTACCTTGTCTGCAGCTAGGAACGAAACAGATTGGCTTGCACTATTTGCCTTCAAGGATAGGATAACTTAAGATCCACAAAGTGTCATGAGATCTTGGAACAGCTCAATACATTTCTGTCAATGGCTGGGAGTTTTTTGCTGTAATCGACATCCTGGAAGAGTAACCGCCTTAAACTTGCAAAGAAAAAAGTTGACAGGTTCAATGCCTCCCCACTTGAAGGTAATCAATCTCGGAGAGAATGATTTCCAAGGTCTAATTCCTCAAGAGCTTGGGCGCTTGTCACGACTTCAAAACCTCAACCTCAGCAAAAATGCCTTTGAAGGGGAAATCCCGAGCAACTTATCTTACTGTTCAGATATGCAAGTCATCAACTTGAACTACAATAATCTTGTCAGTGAAATCCCATACCAGCTGAGCTATTTGTTAACAAAGAAACTCAGTGGATTACTCTTGGAAATTTCTTCGGCCTCTATGTTGGAGGAAACCAATTTACTGGTCACATCCCAGTTTGATTGGATGGCAATTTGAATCCGACCCGACGAGGACCCTGCCCCCTATTCCCGATTAGAACAATTTTTTCTTGAAAAATAACCCTGACGGGTCGGGGATGGTATTCAAAAATGCATCCCCGATGATGTTCGGGCTGAGGACGGGGGGACGGTGATACGTTCTCCAGCCCCGTCCTCGTCCCGTCTCCGTTTCCCCAAACTGGAATTTCTATTATACTCCTATATATATATATATATAAACCAAACCCTAACATAACACAACCTCACACACACATAGAGCCTCGTTGTCTCTCTCTCTCTCTCTCCAAGTAGAATCAGCCAAGTACCCACCACCATATTAAAAAAAGATCAAGAAAATGTCTTAAAGTAGTGACCAAGAAGGGAAAACGATGAAGAACTCAAATATTGAGGAAAAAGAAAAAGAAAAAGATGAAGAGAAGGCAAAGGATGTTTCAGAAGAACAAAACCCATTAGTGACAGCTGCTGCTGATACAGAGTCCTCTGACAAATTGACTAGAGAAGAACATGTTAATTTCACAAAAGCCCAAATTGATCTTAATATTCCAGAATCAAAAACAGAATTAGAATGCAGGTAACTACTTGTTCTTGAACAAGAAACTTATTCTTTCACTAATGTATTCAATCTTCTTTGTGTAGTATGCACTTGGGTTGCTGTAATGCCTCAAATTTCTAGCCCAAATAATAATACATTTACCACAAATCAAAATAACTTAAAACAAATAAATACCCTCATGGGTTTAAAAGTTTCCAAGGCTAAGGCCCAGTTACACAAATCGGTTATTCAAACCCACACAAATACAGCCATTGGCTTACAAAACAAAGTCACGCAAAATGAGAGCATTGTACTCCCAACACACATACTTCCACAACCCTAGTTGGGTGGAATCAACACATCTTTTCCTGCACAAAAATCCCGTAGGGTGAGCATAAAGCCCAGTAGAAAATTCTTAACAAAGTATATACATTTTATACAAGTCTCAAGAGATGAAATGCACATGCCATGCTATACCCTTTTTGAAGATAAATTACATTTTCATCTTTTGAAAACCATCATGCTCAATGATGTCACGCAATTTCAATTGTTCAAAACTTAACAATTTATTTCAAGGGCGGTAAATACGTCTTTGGCAATCCCTAAACTGGTGTCTGCAAGTAGACTATACGAGTACTACCAAATTGTCATTTTTACAAGTATTAACCGGAAGGCTCGACACCTATCCGCGCGGTTTTTTCGGTCTTTCACCCCGGACCCGCAGGCCAACTTATTCAATATCATTTACACCACCTATCAAGACTTACCAACATATTTACCCCAAAACCATTTCATGAAAACTTGTTTCTCAACATTCTTTTCTAAATGCAAGGTTTTCAAATCAAATTTCAAAGCTCTTCTTTATCAAATGAATTGATATGCCAATGCAATGATTAATAATATAATGCAATATTTCTTCCACTTTCAATACTCCCACACAATATTCCCATTGTGATCAAAATTCTCATTTCAATGCAATTTCACAAGATGAATAAATACTTTTATTTTAATTCATCAAAGGGAGAACATAATTCCCACATTTCAAATAATCTTAACAATTTAGTCATCTCAAGACTATATTAATACTTTTAAACAACAATTTTCAAAACTTCAATAATTCCCATATTCCATGAAAACATCATTTATATGTAAATAAATAAATAATTTTCAAACATCATTTATTTTAGCACACAAAATAAATATAACAATATATTCTAAAAATTTTCAACGTCTTTCTTAAAAATCCCCAATTTTTAGGTTTTCTCACCAAAAACTATTCATCTTCAAATATTTGAGAAGATCTCACCAAAAACATCTTTCTTTCATCAGCATAGTTCAAAAATATAAATTTCTATTTTTAAAAGGAAAAAGAAAGTAAACCTACTTTCAAAATCATTCACCTTCTTGAATCAACAATCCATTTTTCAAAACAAATCAAAGGATGATTTCTAAAATCATTTAGATCTTGCAAAAATATATATATAACTCAAAGAAAATTCCTACCTCAAGCTTGAAGAGGAAACAAGCAAAAATCTCAATTTTCGGTTGTGTTGGATTTCGATCTTCACCGGTCAAAACATTGCTCTCGCCAAGCTTTTCACTTTAATCTTAATAACTATGGTCTAAAACTACAATGTTAATGGCATCAGTAGATCGAAAATCAAAGCTAACACTCTCCATTTCATTACCCAACTTTGTGAGATACAGTTGAGCAAAATACGCCTCATGTACTCTCTTGGTGACTCGAACAAACTTCACATCATAGCCCATTGTGTCAATCATCACCTTCACAATTTGATACATGGTAGGCCTAGTAATTTGGACATTGCGTATGGCAGCCATAAACAGCACACTTGGTATCTCCAAAAAGATTATAGGGAGGAGAAGACCCGTCCCATCTTCCATCTTCAGTACGACAGCAGGATGTGGAGCATAATCAAGCAGATGCCCACTCTGCGGGTTGTTATGAACACATCTTAAATTCCCACCATCACTCATCTTAATCATCTCCAGTTCGGCTATGTTCAAGTGCGGCTTCGGTCCGAACCAGTGCAGAAATGTTTTCTCATAAACTATTGACCAGTTGTAGTAGTGCGGAAACGCCCTCTCAACTATGTCATGGTTTTGTTCAAAAAAAACTATGTCATGGTTGAACGACATCGACTTCGATTCAGCTTAGGCGATCATACGCCATCTGATCTCTACCGAGTTTCCGATAATCGGACAGTAGCTAGGCCTCCTTGTGTTACTGAGATACAATTCCAGACAAATATCGGTCTGTTGTTTAGGAGGTCTAGAGCCTCCTCTAATACTGATGAAGATGGTCCTTCTCCTTTTCAGAACTGGGCTGGTTTTCGGGTGCCATCTAATACTGATGAAGATGGTCCTTCTCCTTTTCAGAACTGGGCTGGTTTTCGGGTGCCAGTGCAGTGGTTGGGTCGCTGGAGCTTCCTGGTGCGAGCACGTTTCTGGCGTGTTTGCTGCATAGTTCTAAATATCAGCCGATACGCTACGTATCGGCCGATACGTATCGGAAAAATGGGGTACCGCGACGGATACAGGCCGATATACCACTGAGATTGAAAATGGCAGGAGTATCGGCAGTAGCCGTGCAATTACAGCCACAGCTGGTGCATCATCCAGAAAGTATAATATGATCCCAGAAGAAATAATGAAACTACCATAAAGGAGACGCCACCAAGTAATAAAGGTCTTCTCCCCATGTGCTCCAAGCAATTTTGTCCCTCTCCCCCATGTGCCTTCTGTGTGCGTAAAAGTGGCTTTCTTTATATAAAAAAAATATTTTTCTTCCCATGCTTGAACCTTACTCCAGCACTTAGGCCTCGTTCGGCAAGAGGCTATTTTAGTCAATTAGCCAAAAAGTTACTAAATTAGCCAAAAAGCCAACAATTCATACCAAAAAGTCAAAGATTCTCTTTTCTCTCTACTTTTTGCACATCTTTTCGTAATTAGCCAAAAAATCATCCCAAACATACAAGTTTTTTTTACCCACCTTTTTAGCCAAATAGCCAAAAAGTTACTAAATTAGCCTGTTCCCAAACGAGGCCTTACTTCCCTCTTTAGTTTATTTTATTTCCACCGCCGAAACATCATCATGCATATATTTTTTTCTTTCATTTATTTATTTATTTTTATTTTTTTTTTTGAGTCATCACAACCCCCTTAAAAAAATTTCGTCTTCAAAATTAAAACTAGATTACCTTGCAGAATCAAAAATAATTATAACCGTAGAAATGCAAACATGGCATGTTAATACAACCTTCCCATTAAACATAAGAAAATCACCCTACTACCACCCACAAACTCCCTCAGGAACTTACCAATGCATCAAAAAAATTTATTTAACTACTACATGAGTCTCAACGAGTCACATTGGTAACGAACTAAACTATTACTTTTACACAACAATTGATTATAAAAACCCTTACTAGTATAAACCATTAGGTGATTCTTCTATTCACATTGATAACCTAAGGTAACAAAATAGGATTTAATTACTTAAACATAGCCAACATTTTGGCAAAACAATTTCTCAGAATACCAAGACACCATACCTTATTGGTGATAATCCAACTTCAACGAATTATCTCCATCGCCTAATGCACATTGCATCCCAAGGCTAAAATAACTATCACTACTCTGAGACCTTAACAAAATAAAATAATAACTCTTCAAAAGCACTAACCACCTACTCTTATGAAACATAATGTAACCATGCCAAACACGCTACAAAAAAATTCTCAGCCACAACTTTAATTGCCCAACCAAACAATTTCTGTATTATTTTTACATATCCACTCTATTTCTTTCACTTGACGAACCGACTAACAGTTTACACAAACTTGTCTACCTCCACTCACACAATTTCACTCCAACATAGAATTTACTCAAACGCTCACACAATGCGCTTCAAGTCCACATAGAATTCATCATAACTAGATACACATTCTAACAATACTAAGGTAGTCTCAACACGATTTTCATTCTTTAAAACCCAAGCCATAACACTAACTCCAAAGTTACAACATGATTCTACATCACACTAATATTACGATAACCAACGAGATCAAACCCAAATTGAACGACTTTTACTATACCAACTCACTTACTGATAAGTATTATTACCGCTATTGAGGCCAATTAACGAAATATTCTACCTCTCACCCTAGAAGTATCCCGAACCAATCACAATGAGACACCCGTAAAGATTGACACTGAAATGACTCTAAATATCCCGAATCGTTAATAAATAGATTAACCTCAAATTACAATAAAATCTCTCCAAAGGAAATTGAATGTACATCCCTTGCCAAAAGAAATAATTCTACACTTCTGATTCAGAATTCTAATTAAAATAATCTTTTCAGTACTTCAATCCAATCATTACGAAATCTGCTCCACACTTGAAAAATAAACAATTTAACTCGAGAAGTAATCCACCACTGCTTACTAAGGTACAAAGAAATAAAATTGAATCCTCATAACTGTTCATGTCACAAATAACAACACCAACTACCATATTAAACCCACCACGGAAATCCTACACAATTCAAGACAAAAGGTTACACCAACAAATACTAGTTTTAGTTACTTTGAAACCTTCTATGAAATCTCTAGCCAACTCACTTCCACCCAAATTCTAAAAGATACTACCACAAGTAATAAAGCCACTCATTCACTCTAAGAAATTTTCTATGTCAACAATAGTCATCCCATAACAATTTCTAAGACTACAAAATAACGAAAGTACTTCATACTAATTTCTTCCCTGACGAGGGGTTTACTGAATAACTTCTTCTAGGGTAATATCACCACAAAACACGATGAAACAAAATTAAAATAAGGAATCATCCTTTATTTGGAAAAACTAAATACATTTTAATTAAGAAAACACTTACCACTTAAGGTCAAGTACACCCAAATTAAACCCAATAATACTATTAGATCAACATACCAATAGCACAAATTCTCACCACACTTATAGCAAAACGAAGGATTAATATAAGGGGTTCACAACTCTTACACCGAGGACACAAAACAATCTTATAGTTAAAGGACAAAAGATACAAAATAATCTCCATTTCCATTACATGAACCACGCCATCATGACGCACACCAAATTTAACCCAATACACTCTCAAATACCTTCCATCTTTACAATTTCTAACTCATACATAAAAGTAACTGTAAAAGTTAACATCAATCACTCTCGATGGGTCAAGTATAAATTCCCATAGAAATACTCAAATTACCACCATACTAATTATCCTAGAGCACCTACTTTAGAATTATAATATCCTCACAAAGAAATCTTAAAATTTCCTCTAAGAACATTGGTTGCTAACACAACTCCACAACATCCATCATATCATGTCCTTCAACACTCATTTATTGCACTCGAGAACATCAACAACTAACTTTGAAGCCATGGACTCTACCAATCTCAAAGGCACACGGAACTCGCCTACATGTTTTAAAATATCGACTCACGAGTCAATGTTGTTACTACTAATAATCCCATTAAATGGCATAACCCAAATCAAATTTAATCTCATTCCAATCTATCTCAAAATTATTTATCTCATTTGCCCTCTTTGGATTTGCAGCAAAACCAAAGCATATTATCTTATATAAGAGACAGAATTTAGCTCAAAAGTAGGTACTCCACAGTAGTTCTAACACGCTGCATACGGCTTAAACATAAACCTACACATATATCTGCATCACATAAGGCAAACCATATAAACACATACTCACATAGAGCACATACAGATTTTCTTTCTAGATAATGATTGTCTCATGGCGTTGCTAGAGTTCCAATCAAAAATAGTGGTGATTAAGTGCTCTTGCGACTGGACTTCCAGGAACTCACAGACCCAATCAACATCTCAGAAATCAAACCCCATACCCATATAATCACATAAGCATGTTATCACATAGTCACAAAATGCATAACACTTCCTAAGCATGCTAAATGAACCCATTGTGGTTAAACAACCACTTCCCACGAGCTCCAAGTATTCAAACCCGGTAGCTCTGATACCAAGTTGTAACGTTCCAAATTTCTAGCCCAAATGATAATACATTTGCTTCAAATCAAAATAACATAAAACAAATAAATACTCTCACGGGTTTACAAGTTTCCAAGGCTAAGGCCCGGTTACACAAATTGGTTATTCAAACCCATACAAATACAGCCCTTGGCTTACAAAACAGAGTCACGCAAAATGAGAGCATTATACTCCCAACACACATACTTCCACGCCCCTAGTTGGGTGGAATCACCACATCTTTTCCTGCACAAAAATCCCGTAGGGTGAGCATAAAGCCCAGTAGAAAATTCTTAACAAAGTATATACATTTTATACAAGTCTCAAGAGATGAAATGCACATGCCATGATATGCCCTTTTAAAGATAAATTACATTTTCATCATTTGAAAACCATCATGCTCAATGATGTCACGCAATTTTAATTGTTCAAAAACTTAACAATTTATTTCAAGGGCGGTAAATACGTCTCTGGTAATCTCTAGGCTGGTGTCTGCAAGTAGACTATACGAGTATTACCAAATTGTCATTTTTACCGGTATTAACCGGAAGGCTCGACACCTATTCGAGCGGATTTTCCGGTCTTTCACCCAGGACCCGCAGGCCAACTTATTCAATATCATCTACACCACTTATCAAGACTTACCAACATATTCACCCCAAAACCATTTCATGAAAACTTGTTTCTCAACATTCTTTTCTAAATGCAAGGTTTACAAATCAAATTTCAAAACTCTTCATTATCAAATGAATTGATATGCCAATACAATGATTAATAATATACTACAATATTTCTTCCACTTTCAATACTCCCACACAATATTCTCATTGTGATCAAAATTCTCATTTCAATGCAATTTCACAAGATGAATAAATACTTTTATTTCAATTCATCAAAGGGATAACATAATTCCCACATTTCAAATAATCTTAACAATTTAGTCATCTCAAGACTATATTAATATTTTTAAACAACAATTTCTAAAACTTCAACAATTCCCAAATTCCATGAAAACATCATTTATATGTAAATAAATAAACAATTTTCAAATATCATTTATTTTGACACACAAAATAAATATAACAATATATTCTAAAAATTTTCAACGTCTTTCTTAAAAATCCCCAATTTTTAGGTTTTCTCACCAAAAACCATTCATCTTCAAATATTTGAGAAGATCTCATCAAAAACATCTTTCTTTCATCAGCATAGTTCAAAAATATAAATTTCTATTTTTAAAAGGAAAAAGAAAGTAAACCCACTTTCAAATTCATTCACCTTCTTGAATCAACAATCTATTTTTCAAAACAAATTAAAGGATGATTTCTATATAAATATATATATATAACTCAAAGAAAATCCATACCTCAAGCTTGAAGAGGAAACAAACAAAAATCTCAATTTTCGGTTGTGTTGGATTTCGATCTCCACCGGTCAAAATGTTGCTCTCGCCAAGCTTTTCACTTTGATCTTAACAACTATGGTCTAAAACTACAATGTTAATGGCATCAGTAGATCGAAAATCAAAGCTAACACTCTCCATTTCATTACCCAACTTTGTGAAGTATAGTTGAGCAAAATACGCCTCATGTACTCTCTTGGTGACTCGAACAAACTTCACTTCATAGCCCATTGTGTGAATCATCACCTTCACAATTTGATACATGGTAGGCCTAGCAATTTGGACATTGCGTATGGCAGCCATAAACAGCACACTTGGTATCTCCAAAACAATTATAGGGAGGAGAAGACCCGTCCCATCTTCCATCTTCAGTACGACAGCAGGATGTGGAGCATAATCAAGCAGATGCCCACTCTGCGGGTTGTTATGAACACATCTTAAATTCCCACCATCTCTCATCTTAATCATCTCCAGTTCGGCTATGTTCAATCACGGCTTCGGTCCGAACCAGTGCAGAAATGTTTTCTCATAAACTCTTGACCAGTTGTAGTAGTGCGGAAATGCCCTCTCAACTATGTCATGGTTGAACGACATCGACCTCGATTCAGCTTAGGCGATCATACGCCATCTGATCTCTACCGAGTTTCCAACAATCGGACGGTAGCTAGGCCTCCTTGTGTTATTGAGATACAATTCCAGACAAATATCGGTCTGTTGTTTAGGAGGTCTGGAGCGTCCTCTAACACTGATGAAGGTGGTCCTTCTCCTTTTCAGAACTGGGCTGGTTTTCGGGTGCCAGTGCAGTGGTTGGGTCGCTGGAGCTTGCTGGTGCGAGCATGTTTCTGGCGTGTTTGCTGGTTCGCTCTAATCCGATTTGGTCTCGTGATTTTTTTCGCACGCTCAAGTTTATGTGTGTGTGGACTCGATCGAGTGATTGCAAGCGTGGTTTGCACTGATATTGACTCAGAGTTGAATCACCGACAGTGGTTATGTTGCCGTCGGTGCTGGGTTTAGCTGCTCCGACGTCGTTGTTACCGAAGCGTGGGTTGTGCTGGTGCTGGGTTGTGCTTCGGCGGTGCTCTCTCTTCATCTAAGTCACACTGGGTATCGACTTCTCTCTCTCCCCTTCTCTCTCTCTCACTCTCTCTCTCTCTTTAATCTCCAAATAATATTCACCACCCCCTGATAGCATCCAACATACAGTAGCCGTGAAATTACAGCCACAGCTGGTGCATCATCCAGAAAAGTATAATATGATCCCAGAAGAAATAATGAAACTACCATATAGGAGACACCGCCAAGTAATAAAGGACTTCTCCCCATGTGCTCCAAGCAATTTTGTCCCTCTCCCCATGTGCCTTCTGTTTGTGTAAAAGTGGCTTTCTTTATATAAAAAAAAATATTTTTCTTCCCATGCTTGAACCCTACTCCAGCACTTACTTCCCTCTCTAGTTTATTTTATTTCCACCACCGAAACATCATCATGCATATATTTCATTCTTTTATTTTATTTTATTTTATTTTATTTTATTTTTTTAGTCATCACAGTTGCATTCAATTGCAATTATTTCTTTTTCTCTTCAACCAAACAGACCATCTAAGGTTGTCATCATTTATGGGTTTTTTTTGGGCCAGGGAATTTTCAAGGTCAGGGAAACCTGATCCCCATTAGGGGCGGGGGTGGGGGCGATGATAGGTTCCCCGTCGGAGATTGGGGCAGGGAACAGGAGAATTTTTACCATCGGAGATTGGGGACGGGGAGTGTGATCCCATGCCTCCAAACTAGTAGAACTTTATTTTTCTTTCAATAACTTTACAGGAACCATGACTCCAAACCTCGGAAGCTTAAAGGGACTAGCTAGGTTCACAGTTGCCCATAATCTGCTACGAACTGTGGAAGCAGAAGGATTTAGCTTCTTAACTTCTTTAACTAACTACAGCAACCTCCAGGAACTGGACATAGGCCTTAAGAGGTTCAAAGGTGAATTACCATCTTCGATTGCTAATTTTTCAGCTACTCTTCAATAGCTGATTGCAGGAGCAAACCAGATATTAGGAACCATCCCTGAAGGAATAGAGAATTTAATTGGCCTGAGATGGTTGGCAATCTCCATGAATTCAATCACAAGAGAAATTCCAGTGGGTATTGGCAAACTCAAAAGATTGGAGGATCTTCACCTGTTTGATAATAGAATTTCAGAAGGAATTCCAGCCGATCTTGGAAACATAACACAGTTGGGTCAATTGTGTTTGCACACAAATAATTGAGTGGCAACATTCCTCCTAGTTTGGGAAATTGTCAACTAGAGCTACTGTACTTGTTCAATAACAACTTTACTGGTTTCATACCCAAGGAAATTGTAAGCCTTTCTTCTAGGACTCTTTCTTTCAACTTGGCTCAAAATTCTTTAACCGGTCCCTTGCCCACAGAGGTCGGTAACATGAGCAACCTAATGGAATTCAATGTTTCGAATAACAGATTGACCAGAGAAATTCCAAGTACTATGGCCAAGTGTTTGATGCTGGTGCGGCTTGGTTTGGAGGGGAATTTATTTGGAGGAAGAATTCCTTCATCTTTGAGCGCTTTAAATAGCCTTAACTTCATTGATCTTTCTAAAAATAACTTGTCCTGTGAAATTCTAGCATACTGGCAAAACTTCATTGTTTTGAAAATTTTGAATTCATCATTCCAATAACCTTGAAGGTGAGGTACCACAAGAAGGGGTCTTCAGAAACATGAGCGCATTTCCAGTTGTCGGGAACAAGAAACTCTGTGGAAGCATAAAGAGTTTAGGACTTCCCGCTTGTGAAACCCCTGTTCCAAAGAAAAAGGGAACATCTCTTGCTATAAAAGTAGCAGTTCTGGTAGCTATTTCATGTTTAATTCTGTTAGTGTATTTGATAGGTTGTTTACGCAGGATGAAGAGACTTGGAAGAAGCTCTCCGACCATGTTACATGTGGATGAAAAGTTTAGAAAGGTCTCTTATGTAGAGCTTCTCCAAGCAACTAATAAATTCTCGTCCTCCAACTTGATTGGAAAGGAACATTATGGTTCTGTCTATAAAGGGATTTTGGGCAGAGAAGGATTGACTGTGGTTGTGAAGGTGCTCAACCTTACAGAGAAAGAAGCTGCCAAGAGTTTTGTGGCAGAATGCAATGCTTTGAGAGGTATTCGACATCGGAACCTCATCAAGATAATCACTACTTGCTCGAGCATTGATTCCAAAGGCGATGATTTCAAGGCGATAGTTTTCGAGTTCATGCCCAATGGAAACCTTGAGGAGTGGCTACACCAAAGTGAAGATGAGCAAGACCACTAAAGAAGTTTAAGTCTTACTCAGAGACTAAGAACAACGATGGAGGTAGCATCTAAACTACAGCATCTTCACCATCACTGCCAAGCAGCACTTATTCATGGTGATTTGAAGCCGAGTAATATTCTGATGGATCATGACATGACTGCACGCATGGGTGATTTTGGAGTAGCACATCTATTATCTGATCATAGCCTACCCACTAGTTCTCAAAATAAAATCAGTTCAATTGGGATAAAAGGAAATGTTGGCTACGTTGCTCCAGGTAACTAAGTGCATCTTTCTCCAACTCATATATTTATTGGGGATGTTGATAGATTCATCTTTCATGTTAGAGATGAAATATCAAGACCATTCCTAGTTTTTGAAGCCTAAAATATTTGGGCAATTAACATGATTTGTTATGATTCTTTGCCGGTATGGGCAGCAAGGCATCCATGTAGGGAGATGTCTATAGCTTCGGAATTCTCCACTGGAGATGTTTACAGGAAAAAGACCTATTGATATCATTTTTGGATAAGTAAGTCATATTATAACCAAAAAAGAAAAATATACAATGAAGTTCAACACACAGCTTTTGATGGAAGCACAAAAATAAACAAAATAAACTACTCCATCAAAAACAAACTGAGCTTATAGAAAACAAGCACAACATTCCCAACAAACCAAGGATTCAGAATTTCCTTCTAGCATTCTTCAAGTCATAAAGTTTCGCTTTAAGTTTTCTTCTGTTATCCACTTTTGAAGTCTCCCCATAACTAGGATCACTTGGAGATGGACTCCCTCTATTTCTCAACTCTTGACTTAAATCTCCATTTCCTAACTCGTCCATATCACACGATTCAAGGACATCAAAGGCATTAGATGTTGAGGGGATAGAAGACTACGTCTCTCTCTCTCTCTTTGTTGATCAATGGCGTTAAACCTTGCCTACCATCTCTCCTCTTTTTCTTCACCACTTCCCATTTAGTCGGAATTTGTGTTTTAGTGTCCTTGACTCTCCACTCATGTTTGAAGGAGGGAGGGTTCAAAGACTTTGGCTTTTGAGGGCACAAATTAGTGGTATAGCCAAAAGTCTTACAACCATCACACCTTTGGGGCTTCCATGGTACCTCAACTTGAATCTCATATGGGTCACCATAACCAAGATTTATTTTGAAAGACTTAGGGATCTCTTTATTTGTTGGCACTTCAATACAAATTCTCGCAAACGTAAGTCTGCTTCTCTTGAAAGTTGGCTCATCCAAATAAAGAGGAGTTCCCAAGATGCTAGCTATGTAACCCAAACCCTCTTCACTCCAAAGTTCCAAAGGAACATTGTACAACTTCACCCACAATGGCAGACTTGAAAATTCACCTATTGATATCATATTCAAGGACAATCTGAATCTCCATCGATTTACCAAGATGGCACTGCCAAAAAGAGTGATGGAGATTGCAGACCCTTCACTGTTATTGGAAGTTGAAGGTGACGATGATCACATAATCGAGATAGCCAAAACCAAGGAGTGCTTGGTTGCAGTGTTAACAATTGGAGTTTCACGCTCGATGGAATCGCTGGGTGAACAAATGAATATGAGAGATGTGGTAGAGGACGTGTATGATTAGGAACAAATTTTTTCCTCATTAGGATTTGACGAAGTGATTGCAGCCCATCTCTTGAGCTGATGCTTATCACTTAGGCTTTATCATCTCATTCAAACAGCTTAAAAAATTTCACGTTCTCCTCTAAACCTTCATGTTTAAACAATTATAAATATCAAGTTAGAAAAGGTTTAGCACTGTCATTTCTATCTTCGATTATTTTTTTTTCATTTTTTTCTCTCACTTTTTCTCTAGCCTTGGGAAGCAATGGATTCTTGGGAAAAAATATAACTATTTACAAGAATTTAATGCATGTATCTAACAGAGATCTAAAAACAGAAACTCAATTTTTTTCCCTTCCATCTTTCTTTTCTCAAATCCCTCTCAGATGAATGTTGTTGCTATCATGATGTTTTTGGAATTTATCAGATGTCGACACTAGTTTTAAGTAACAGTAGCAGCCATCGTAACGATAACAATGTCGGTAACACAATTTGGGGTATAATGGACATAACGGTAGCAGAAATCAAAGCCATAATTTTTTCAAAATCACATTTCCCATATATGGAGATGTGCTCAGATGCCACCCATGTTTATTAAATACACACCATATTGGTTTGTATGGATCCTACATGTTTGGTTTCACTTACTAATTTTAAGGTCTAGACCATTGAGTTAACTGAAACGGTGTTTATTTTTTGTATTTGAATTTTTTTGAAAATCAAAAGTTAAGAACCAAATTCTTTTTCATCCAGACTTCTCTAGTTTGGATTCATTTGATCAATCAAAATTTGAGTCATCCTAAATATCAAGCTTTCAACATATGATTTAAGTATTACAATGACGCTTGTAAAGGCTCCGAGTCCAGATGGATGTACTGTGACTTTTTTCCAGCATTGTTAGGAGTTGCAAAGGGGGGATGTGATGGTTGTAATGGGCAATTTTATCAGACGGGCTAGTTTGAGGAGACTTTCAATGCGACTTTTATTGCTTTGATACTTTAGGTGGGAGGGGCTAAGGATATTCGATAGTTTCGGCCAATTAGTTTGTTGGGAAGTGTGTACAAGCTTTTAGAGAAAGTTTTGACCAATAGGTTTTGGTTGCAAGTAGGGGAGGTGGTGTCAGAATCACAGAACACTTTTGTGGGTGGGCATTAGATTCTGGATGCAATGTCAGTGGCTAATGAGTGTGTTGATTCTCGTTTGCGAAAAGGACAGTCAAGCGTCATTTGTAAGTTAGATATTGAGAAGGCCTATGATAATGTCAGTTAGGATTTTTTGATGTCTGTCATAGAGCGGATGGGTTTTGGAGAAAAGTGGAGGCGGTGGATTTGGTTTTGCATTTCGACAGTACAAGTGTCTATATTGGTGAATGGGACGCTGGCGGGTTACTTCCAGACGTTTCAGGTTTTGCGGTAGGGGGATCCATCGTTCCCTTTGTTGTTCATTCTTGTCATGGAAGCGCTAAGTTGGTTGTTGTCTCAGGCAGTGCAGGACGGTTTGTTGGCAGGTTTTTTGGCGGGAGATACGGTTGGTGTTTCTTATCTTTTGTATGTTGATGATGCTTTGATTTTTGGAAAGCTATATGGGTTATATGTCAAATTAGACTATGAGAATATTTGGGAAATTGAGGAATTTGATGACCAATGAAATATGTGAAACTATGGTAACCGAGGATGAGAGAGTTATTTGGTACGTAAGATGGCATATTTTGGCGGGAACCTATTATGTGAAATGTTAAACCGTAGAATCTCATGCCTTTGTTGAATGACCTTGAAAGTTCGATTGGAATCACGTTTGGCCAACGTAGCTTCGAATCGAAATTTCTGTTGGAACAATCTTCTGTGTAAATAAAATAAAAATGGTTTTGACGTTTCGTCTTCACCGTGTGACTTGCCACGCGGCAAGGAACACTTCACCTCTTCGGACCCACCCCAAAAGACGTTTGGGGTTCACCCAAAATGGGTTAAAAAATATGCCTATATAAAACCATTTTTTCCAACAAATTCTTGGTAAATTCCATGGGAATGAATAGGTTATCCTACTAGTGTCCTTATATGCCTACATGTGTATGTTTACTTGTATATGATGTGTTTTGTGTAATATTCTAAGTCAGTTGACATTAACCCAAGTGTTATCAACCATCATTTTGTGCTTAACCTTTCTCTTCTATCATTAGGAAACGATGGTGAAAAGTAAACACGAAATGGAAGTTGAGACTTTGGCAGAATGACTGGGCAAAGTAGAGGAAGTACTTGAGAGAGTAATGAAAGTTATGCAAAAATGCTATGACAAATGGCAAGACCAAATGAAAAAGTTAAGTGTGAAGTCAAAGAAGGAACCAAAGGAAAAGCCTAGGAAATTTGTGCTAGGAGAGTCAAGCAATTCTAAGCAAGGTAGTAAGTTTCTTCCATTATGTTCAACGTGTCACAAGCGACATAGGGGGTTGTGTCATCAACTTACCGGAGCATGTTTCAAGTGTGGAAAGATGGGGCATCTAGTAAAAGACTGTTCTAAAGCCCAGGAGAAAACTCAATGATTTAGTTGGTTAAGGGTTAGTACTTGATTATAATTAAGTAAATTAGTGGGAATATTTTGAATACATGTATAGAAATCTAAGGTTAAAATTTTATGTGTGTGACTTTATTTGAATTGGTCTTAATCAACATTTGATAAAATTAGAATCCATCTATTTGAAGCTCAACATGAGAATGCTAAAGCTTATTAGACAATCACAGAGACTTAAGCTAGTGAAAATTTTCCTACTTAGTACTCGAATAAGTATGACTCAATTTATTGAAATCATATTGTTATTGAACCTTCTAATAACATTGAAAAAGATGATATTTATGTTACTTCGACATAATAATATTCCTACATGAATAATTGATAAATTTAGAAACCATTATTTGGATATTTGAGACTTGACCTGAAATTGTCTGACTTAGAAGAATGAGATCAAGATTTAAATGATTTGGAAAATAGGTCAAATAAGATCACATTGATAACGTTAGAAGAGAAACTCTTGTAGATACTTAAGTTATAAAAAGTCAAAAATATAGACCCTTTAACAAAAAAGAGAAGAAAGAAAGAAGAAGAAGATCTAGTAATTTCGTATCTAAATAATGGTTAAAAGGATTGATGGTATGGTGTTATAGATACATAATTGAATTTAGATTTTGAATCCCAACTTAGATAGCCTAACTCTTTGTGAAGAAATTTAACTATAGCCTTTAACGGAAGAAAGAAGCATAATGGAAAATAAGAAAAATAAATATCGTTAGAATGACAAACGTATATTTCTTAAAGAATCTTTGGGAACATAAGAATTGTAATTGGCTAATTGTAATGATTTGAGGAAAATTTAAAAGTTTAGCCGTAAATTACCACGTGACAATTGATCAAACTTAATGAATATATCTA